CCATCCCAAGGGAACCTCTCAGGGTGGTAGGTTTACCCACCGGGGTATATACCTGGTCATAGTGAACGCCTTGTGTTTGAGTGTTCCCCATGGCCACCAACCTGGACTTAGGCCTCTCAATACTCCCATCAGCCATGTGCTTATACTTCCACATCCACTGACACCTCAAGACCTCCATTCCAGGTGGCACACAAGCTGGATCAACCAGCTCAAAAGACTCGTTCACCCTATGAGACTCAAGCTCCGCACGCATGGACTCGACCCACTCAGGACGGGACAAGGCCTCCTTGACTGACTTGGGCTCATGCACCTGACCCATGAGACAAAAATCAAGCCCAAGCTCACCCCCCTCAGCATCCACAAACATGCACTCCTCCATATCATGCACCTCATGATCATGCATGCAAGCATACTGTGCACTTGGTGTGAACCTTTCAGGTGGCCGGGAGATGCGTGTGGTGCGGCGCAGAGGTGAAGCCTCCCCCTGCTCCAAACTTTGCAGCTTCTCTTTCCAAGTCACTCTCTTCATGGGGGACCGTGGTGACTTGGACAGCTGCTGCTGCAGTAGTTGCTGCCACCTACCCACATGAACGGGCGGTGTATGCTCCTGTGGTGGCTGCTGCGGCTTCTCTTGTTGTTGCTGCTGCCCCTGTGGCTGCTCCGGGTCATGGGCTGGTGCGTTAGGGTCAGGGGTAGAACCAGCAGTTGGTGACTCCTCATGGTGAGGTGCAGCTGCCTTTTGTTCCTCTTGCTGCTCCTCTACCTCCTCTCCAGGGTCCTCCCATGCCCACTCAAAGATGGAAGAGGTGTAGGGATCTTGGAGGGAGCTCCCAACTGTACTAGCACCATGCTCCTTCCACCCCTTATAGCTCAGCCCCTCGTGGAAAACCACATCCCTGCTTTCCACCACCCGCTGATCCGCCACACTCCACAACATCCAAGCTTTGCTTCTCTCCGACACCCTAAGAAAAATGCCCCATTGTGCCTTAGGATCCAGTTTTCTCCGTTGCTGGTTGGGCACTTTGTACTGCGCCATGCACCCCCACACTCGTGCCATGGACACACTAGGCAACTTCCTGGTCCACATGAAGTAAGGGCTCTTGCCCCCTAGCCCCTTGCTGCCCATTCTGTTCTTAACCCAGTTGGCATATTGCACTGCTGCCCCCCACCAAGTATGGTCCAGCTGCGCATGAGGAAGCATGGCTCGGGCAAGGTCAATGAGGGTCCGGTTTAGCCGCTCCGCTGCCCCATTTTGCTGCGGCGTGTAGGCGACTGAAAGCTGGTGGGTGATGCCCTTGTCTTCAAGGAAAGACTCCAGATCCTTCCCCATGTACTCCCCACCCCGATCGGACCTAAGTATTTTCACCTTGGCCCCGGCTTCCCTCTCCGCATAGCGTATCCAACGCTTGAACACCTTGGCCACCTCTTCCTTGGTTTTCACCAAGGTAACCCAACTTAGGCGGCTGAAGTCATCCAAGAAGGTGATGAAGTATTTGCTGCCCTTCTCCCTATCCGGTGTTTGCATGGGGCCACACACATCCGTGTGCACCAACTCAAGAGGTGCGGAGGCTCTAGTGGTGGAGGTAGGGAAAGAGGTCCTTGGCAGCTTCCCGGTCGTGCAATCAGGGCACTTGCTTAGCTGCCCACCACCCTCCTTGATCTCCACACCCTTCAGCTCCCCCTTCTTCACACACTCCACAAGTTGCTGCCTTCCTGCATGCCCCATGCGTAGGTGCAGCAAATCTGTCGTCACCTGCTCCACGTCCCTCCAACGGCTGCTACAAGCGGCTTCCTCGGCTTCAACTCCATGTGCCCTCTCCACCTGAGGCACACAAACTGGAACAAGGTATAGGCCCTTCTCTAATTTGGCCTCCATCACCACAGCTCCACCCTTGCGAACCGTGCCACCTTCCATGGTGAAGGTGCATATGTATTCTTGCCTCGCAAGTTGAGAGCATGAGAGAAGGTTGGCTGCCAAATCAGGAACATGAAGCACACCCTTCACATTCAGCACCTCCCCCTCCTTCCCCATGACGGTGATGGTGCCGATGCCGATTGCTTGCAGCGTATCTCCGCTCCCCACAATCACATTTCTAGAGTGAGGTGGGAGGGAGTGATAGGTGGTGAAGAGGTCGCGCTGAGGTACCATTCCACAGGTTGCCCCAGAGTCTAGAATGAGCTGATTGGGGTCAGCCAACACACGACCAGCAAGCGCCGTCTCCTTCTCCAAGGATAAGAAGGAGAAACCATCATCCGATGAGTCCTCTTTTCCCTTCTTATTCTCGTTTGCCGCCGTTGCTGCCGATTTCTCTTTGCTGCCCTTCTTGTTCCATGCTCCATTCTTCATCCTCCTCTCCACCCACTCAGGCCTAGTGACAGGTGGAGCCTCTCCTGGGTACCCTTGAGGCTTCCACCCATCAGGACGGCTCCAACACTCCTTCCAAGAATGCTTCCGGTTGCATCCAGAGACGAGGCACTTGTCGAGCTCCTTCTTCTTCCCCCCACCTCCTTGCCGCTGCTGGTATTTCTTGGAGGCAGCCCTATCCCCTGCCCCCATTCCCCCTTCAACTATTCTACCAGCATCCCGTTTGCGAGCCTCATCAGAGACCAACACCTCCCATATCCAGGCCTTGGTCCATTTCTGTTGCTCAAGGTGAAGGTACTGCAGTAGGGCCTCGTTCACCTCTTGGTCCAGCCCCTGGAGTGCGGTGTAGATGATCTCCTTCTCATCTACAGTGTAGTTTAACTCCTCTAAGGCTCTCACATACTCATCCACCCTCTGGAGATACTGCACCATGGTCTCCCCATCGCCATAGTTGCGTTCCATGATGTAGAACCGCTTCCTCCAAGTGAGTATGCTTAGCAACCCCTTTTGCAAATGTCGATCTTGAACTCTCTTCCATGCTAGTGCAGCTGCTCCTTGCTTGCCCTTCAGGTCAATCAGCATCTTTAGGAGCTCTAGTTGGCCTTCCAAGGCCCAACACAGGTACTGGAACGCTTGCTTGTCCTTGCGGTCCCATGCTTCCTGTGCCTTAAGAAGCTCCTCCACACTAACCCGTTGCCTTCCGGTTCGCGATGCTGCTGATCCACCTCCACTTCCCTCAGTTATGGATGAGCTAGAGGCTCCCCCAGCCCCTTCTCCCACTTGGCTAGAGACTCCAGTAGATGCCTTTCCTTCATCAGCTTCAAGTCTTCGCTCCGATCCCTCCAAAACGCCTTCTAGGTCTTTGATACCTAGCCAAAGCGTAAACTGGAACCGCCATAGCGAAAAATCCGAGCCGGTGAACCTAGGAGGGCCATCTAATTTCTGGGCCATAACCAACCCTAGATCTGGAGATTCTTAAGCCAATTCGTAATATGATAATAGGAGGGAGTGTCGCAGGCCTAACCAGCTCTGATACCACTGATAGAAAGCGAGCGAATCTGGAGAGCGTACAAGAGATTAAGTCCGCCGACTTCGACAGAACATTGCGTGCAGCTCACGTAACCTTAAACTATGAGCAGGTATGCGTTGGAACGGTCTTAATCTCTACTTTCCAGAATAGTAACGCACGCTTTCAACCAAGATCTAGGCCGATCGCTATCTCGATCTAAGTGCGACAGTGTATTCTGGCGGAATTAGTAGGCAGCCATGGATTAGACCAAAAGACTAGCTTTAGCAAGAGTTCAGATCTGAAAAGTGACGAGTTGTTCAAACCCTACCAACCCAACCCTCGCCCTACAACAATCCCCAACAACCCAAAGTGCTAAACTAGCAACACCAAAGGTGTTGTAGTGAATAGCAAAGGTTTGTTGGTGCTTGTTGGGTGCGAGATCAATACCAGCCCGCAACAAGTCTAACCACCACATTTTGCCCAAACCCTTAGCCCACAACCAGCTAGAGCAAAATACCACAACCACCTACACAATCAACAGTGAGGCGCCCCTGGCGGTACTTCTTCTTCGCCGCATAAGTAGCTAACATACGGAGGAACTGTTGAGTGTCAGTCGCCAACGCCCCGTAGGTCTCAACCGCCAGGCCGAAGAAACCCACATAGCCAGGCCGTTTCTTGTAGAGCCTGTGCTTGGCCTGCGATGCTTCCTCAGCTGCCCATCCCGGCGGCTTCCGTGCTCTCACATCCCTCCTCTGTAGGACCGGGTCAGTCACAGTCACGTCCGTCGCCCAAGTCTCTCCCGACTCTTGGTCCCTTACGGCCAGGTCAGCACGCTTGTTCTGGACAGGGGGAGAGAATGCGGTGGTCTCGTGAAAGGTTTTGTACCCGGCTTCCTGTGCCATGCGAAGAGCAGCAAAGGCCAGCGCATTGTGGGTGCGCACAGCATCCCCACCATCGGCACACCGTAGCAGGTGGTTCGGCAGACTCTTGTCGGCTATCGTGGAGTTCCATGCCAAGGCGCAAGCCTAGTGCCAAGGAGAACTGACCAGGGGATATTGAAAGGTCAGCCCTCATGGGCACTGCATGGAGCCAATCGCCTGCTCCCACTCCTTTCTGGCTGATGAGCCGAATGGCATGGCCCCGGTCCACCCCCGGCCTATCAGTTACCGTATCTGCCAGCAGCTCCTCCGCCCGCGTGTGATTGATGGCCTTGGAGAGCCCTAGCTGCAGGTTGCCCATACCCCTGGGGTTCTCTCTGTAGCTGTGTAGAACCGCTAATGCTTGTGCTGGGAGCCTCGCCTCGAGCGGGGACAGCGGGTTCACCCGGGGGGGAGGTGGGGTCCAAGTCGGGGAAAGTATTTCCCCGGCCCTGCGAAGTAGGTAGTCCGCCGGCAGGTTCAGCTGCTGCAGTAGAATGTGCGCTGCTGCAGTCGAGGCCAGGTACGCGGCTGGGGCTTTGGAAATGGGATCAATGATTCCCAGGCCTCCCAGCCGGACCGGGAGCGTTGCCTGGCGCCACAGCAGGCTTTGCTCTAGCTCGCTCGGCGGGATCTGTAGCTTCGATGCTGTGAGCCCTGCTCCCACCAATGCCTCGCTCCACTCCCTCCATTCCATACGGGCTAGTGCCTATGCCGGTGTTGTGCGCAGTAGGTACAAAATGCGGCGGGAGATGCTCCGAGATAGCATGAGCAGGGCGTGCTGCGGGTTGAGTTGGGAGACGAGGGGTAGCGGCGCAGCTGCCTCCGCAAGCGCCGCTCGGACCTGGTCGGTGCAGAAAGCATCGCTGCCAACCGGGCTGCCCAACACCTTTAGACCACCTAGGTGGATGGGAAGGCCGTGTGGCAGGCCGTCTCCCCCTTCCTCCCGCCCTGCGCACCATGCCGCCGACTTGGCAAGGTTGCACCGTAGCCCGCATGAAGCCAGCTCCGCAACGACCGTGTTGAAAGCGATGCACGCCGCTTTACGAGGCCCCACGATGGTGATATCGTCAGCATAAGCCACTATTGCCACCTCCGGGACACTTGTAGCCACGCCGAGCCGAATAGGCTGTATCGCCGCTGCGAAAAGAAGAGGTCCCAGCGGGTCTCCTTGGCGAACACCCCTGGAGCTATGGATGTGCTCCACCTCCAGACGGGGGTCCACTAAAAGCCGAGAGGGGCCATCGTAGAGGTTTCTGACGAGCGGGAGCAGCGGGTTGAGAGTAGACCACTGGAGGGCGGAAAGAAAAGACGCTCGTTCGACGCTGTTGAAAGCGTTCTCCACATCCAGCTGTAGAGCGATGCGGGTCTCGTCATCTCTGAGGAGGGAGCGAACCGTGTGGATAATACACTCCGCGCCTCCACGGACTGCTACGCCGTACTGAACGGGGAGGAAGAACTCTCGGATCTTCGGGCCTAAGCTGTGTAGCGCCGATTTTGCTACCATGCGTAGTAATGCCTTGCCTATCGCGATCGGTCTAACTCCTCCCCCGGGCTTCTCTAAGGCTATGAGCCGGGAAGGGAGTAGAAGGTTGCGGACTGTTTGGCTCTGGAAGGAATTGGCGAGGCGATTCACCACGTTTGCGAGGAGCAGGAGGATCTCCTCATTCGCCAGGGCCGGGTCTCTCAGGTGTTCGAAACAGCAGCCTAAGGGCCTTGCTCCTACCCCATTCGGGCACTTCGCGAGAATTTTGCGAAGAGCTTCCAGTGGGATACTGAGCTCGGAGTCGGTTATCCCAGTAACCCAGGCTGGTGTTGGAGTGCTAGCAGTCGGGTGTTTTGCTCGAAGGGCAGTCAGCGTTGCCAAATTCGGTTCAGCGAGGGGGCTCGTGCGTAACGCTGCAACTGCTTTCGAAATGTTACCTTTTTTAACCAAACCCTCCGCCCTCGCGCAAACCCCCTCGTCATCGTTTTGGTGTCTAAGCGGAGCACCTGTGTCGGGGATGGTGCAAGCAGCTTCGTACAACCCATCCCAGTCTCCCAGCTGGAACTGATGCAGGCGAGCCTCAATTGCTGCCCATCGGCTGCCAGTGACTGGCTCGGTTGGCGAACGCAGCGTCAGCTTCGGGAGGTATAGCAGAATCGCCCATGCACCTGGGCATTCTGGGTTTGTTGACAGCCGTAGGAGTGGTGCGAGGAGGCATAGGCAATATTTGTCTAACACCTGGGGTGGTAGGCGTCTGACTAGGAACGGTTGGTCCAATCGTTGGAGAAGGTCCAAGGTCCACGTGCCTGCCATCTGCCAGATGGCGTCGTCATCTGCCAGGGCGGCTGGCGATTTCGCCTCGTTGGCGACTGCTGCGGCTGGAACCGTCACTCCTACAGCGTGGGATGTTTCTCCTTCCACCGCCTCCCCTATGCCTCCCGCTCGATTCCGCCTTCCCCCCACTTCCTCCTCGTTTTCTAGCGACACCTCTTCCGACTCTTGGCCTGGTTCTTCTCCACACATAAAGTCTGGATCCCCGTTCTCCTCAGCAGAGCCGGCTTCATCCCCATTGGCTCCAGCCTCCGAAACCTCTGGACGGTCGTGACGTTCCCGCCACGGGCCCGTTCGGGCTTGGATCTCAGCTCCCCCCAGACGAGCGACACCCCCACGCCCTCCCCCTCGCCTTCCGCGGCCCATACCGCGCAGACCCCGGCCCGCCACTGGCGCCGATCGAGCTGTGGTCTCCAGTCCCGCTCTCCCCGCTGGCATCCACGGCGAACGGCCTCCCCTTGGAGGACCCCACGTGACAGTGCCCAGCCGAGCCGAGCGACGAATGGCAACGCCTTCCGTGGCTGGGGCAACAGGACATGGCGGTAAGTGAACGCCTGTTCCATCGTCCTGGTTTGAGGCCGGCTGATCTGCTTCGTGGGTTGCTGTCGTCTCATTTGCCACCTCATTGAGTCCGGAAACCCCCCTTGCCTCTTGAGTATGCGCAGATGATGACCGATGCGCTCGCTCTGATGGCGGTTGCCCTTGCAGAAGCCAGCCCAGGAGGGGTCCAGGGGGGCCAGGTCCCAGCCCTGTTCCGGGCCGTCTCGGCGCTGGCTGGGCACGCAACTTCTTCTTCGACTTCGCCCGTGCCGCGCCGGAAGAATCGCCGTTCGCGCGTCCTGGGACCTCATCCTCCACATGGCCGTGCTCCTGCCTGTTTGCGGCCACGGCAGCAACAGGCGTTTTGGCGCTCGCTGCGACAATCATCACGTCTTCCGCCGTCGGGGCTCCGCCCTGCTTCCCAGCGGCAGCAGACACCGCCGCCGCCAGCACAGCCGCCGTTACAGGTGCCGGCGACGCGGACAACGCCGCCTCCGCGGTCTGCTCCTGATCCGCGCCCGGACTTGGCTCCTCAGCCTCCGACTGTGCAACCCGTGGGGTGGCAGAGGGTGAAGTTGAGTCGCCGCCAAAGGCAGCGGCAGAACCGCCAGCAGGCATCGGGTCCACCACCGTCTCTACCGCAGACGCAGCAGCAGCAGCTACCTCACGCACCGTTGCAGCCGCCGTCCCGGGCACCACAGCGGCCACCCGCATAGTCCCCGCTACGTCGTTTTCCCCTGCCCTTCCAGCCGCAGCCGCCTCGTCCCCCAATGCCCCAAGTTCCACCGTCACCTCTCCTGCACGCCCCAAGCCCGCCTCCTCCCCCTGCCTTGGGTCCTGGCGAGCCCCCAACTCGCGTCGAGCAGCGCGTGATGCACGTTGGGACGTGCATGACACTCCTGTCGTACGTGCTCGGCCAGCTGCACGTGACACTGGTCCAGCAGGAGGTGCAGATCGAGGCGATGCAGCGAGCGGAGTAGTCAGCGGCGGTGGCGGTGGCGGAGGAGCTGCAGCATTACCTCCCCCTGATTGGCTATGTGCGAGGCTCCCCTGGGGCCGCCCTTGGGCCCGGCCCTGGGGCTTTGGCGCGGCTTGCTGATTCTGCCCAGGACGACCCGCTCGACCTTGTAACAGCAGCCGCGTCCGTCCTGCGCTGGCTGGACAGGAGGCTGTGTTGGATCCTCGTTGAGTAGCGGTAGCCTTCCCCTTGCCAGCCCCCTTAGTGGCAGGTCTGGGTTTGGGCTTCCCCATGGCGGTGTTCTCACGCCCGGGGGTGTTGTTGTAGCTGATGTTGTTCTATGCATGCATGTTGTACTGCCCCATGTTGAGTTTTTGGGAAACGGCCCTGGAAACGTCTAAGGACTAAGTACTAGGCTGGAGAGGGAGGAAAACGGCTAAGGACTAACCCCAAGCCATCTCTCTCTCTCTCTCTCTCTCTCTCTCTCTCTCTCTCTCTCTCTCTCTCTCTCTCTCTTTCTCTCTCTCTCTCTCTCTCTCTCTCTCTCTCTAATGGTCCGTATATTGATATGGCAAAAAGGTACAGACATATAGTTCCACGAGCATGTGAGATTCAGACTAATCCCTCTAGAGTTCCACCAGTGGCTCCAAAACAGCAAAGCAGTCCCCTAGGTGTAGCTCATGCCCAATACCCCCTACCGGAGGGTTCTCAGCTGCTGCAGCCTCACCCAGTTTCATAAGCAAGCCCACTGACTGCGCCCTCTGAAGGGCAACCGACCACCGCTGCCTGAACTGATGCAGAAACTTGGCGGCATGATAGGAGTTAGAGTCGGCGTTGAAGTGGCGCCGAGCCGCGGTGTCTGCCAGCAGTTTGAGGAAGACGGGGACCTCTGCACATGGGCAACCGTAGGTCTCCACTGCCAGTGGAAAGAAGCCGACTGTCTCAGGCCTGTTTGCATAGTGCTGGATTTTCTTATCTGCCTGTTCCCTAGCTGCCCATCCCCTCCCTTTCCGTGCCTGTGGGTCCCTGGTACTGATGGGGTCTGTCACGGTCACGTCGCACACCCAGACCGCCCCACTGCTCCTATCCGACATGGTGAAGTCGGCTGTTTGTTCCTCGACAGGGCAGTGGGCAGCCGACTCCCTGTGGACGATAAACCCCGCATCCTGTGCCATACTAATGCAGGCATCTCGGAGCTCGTTGTGGGTGTTGATGCGCTGCCTTCCAGTGCCGCAGCGTAGGAGGTGATTCGGGAGGCGGGGGTCTAGGATTTCGGTGTGATCAGAGCAATCACAGTTTTTCGGGGTGGAGAAGGGCAGCCCGAGCCTGAATCTGACGGCATTTGCGAAGTGTACCGGGCCTAGGCGTCTGGTTGCTTCTATAGGGATGGCTGTCAGCCAGTCCCCTGTGCCATAGCCGGTTAGGGAGAACATCCGCTGCGTATGGCCTGCTAGCGGATTCAGTTCCATGTCCTTCGTTGCCTGTACTTGCACGGCGTAGCGGCTACCGTGAACCTGTAGGGCAAGGGCGTGCTGTAGTTTGACATCTGTCCGCTTAAGTCGTTCCCGTTCCAGTAGCTCTCGCGCATCCGAAGGCAGGGCGGACTCGCACTCTGTGAGCCAGGAGCGAAGCGGTGTGTTTTCATCCGTGGGCCGTAGCATATGGCAGCGCGCGTGGGAGAGGGCGGTGTCCGGATCTAGCGCGAGCGTAGAGAAAAGCAGAGCCGCCTGTGTGAAGCTTGCGACGAAACCGTACACTCCCTCAACGAGGGGGTCAGTAACACCTATTCCCCCTAGAGAGGGGGGCAAGGAGGCCTGCGCCCAGACGCGTGCCTGTTCCGCTCTACCCGCCGGCACATGAATGCTGCACGAGGTAAGGAGTGCCAGGAGGAGGTCACGACCCCACTCCGTCCAAGTGTCTCGTGAAACGAGGTTGAGAGGAGTTGTTCGAGTTAGATAGGACACGCGCCGAGAGATGCAGCGTGTGATCAGCAGCGAGGCCACCTGAGGATCTGCCCGCTCAATGAGGTGTAAGGGTTTCGCCAGGTCCTTCAGCTGGCCCGCTAAGAAAGAAGCTGCGCCGTTGGCCGCCCCCAGAAAACTCCCAAGCAAGCGGATGCCGTCTGTGCAGAACGGCACCCCTGGAGGTAACCCAGCAGAGTCGCACGCAGTGGCGCTCCATGCCGTGCATTTCTGCGGGTTGTGCTTCAGGCCTAGTGATTCCAGTTTGGAGGTGAAGTGGTTGAACGCGGCTACAGTGGCACTTCGTGCACCCACGAATGTCACGTCGTCAGCATAGGCCAAGCAAAGCACCCCTGGGTGAGCTGCTGCAGTGTCACGAAGTGTAGGGTGTATTCCCGCCGCAAACAGGAGCGGGCCGAGTGGGTCGCCCTGGCGAACGCCACGTTCGCTGCGTAGGGGTCCGCTCGCGAAGGTCGAGTCCATGTAGAGTCGCGACGGGTTACCGTAGGTCAGTCGAACCAGTGGGAGTAGTGGCGATAGAGTTGGCTCCTGTAATGCCGCTGCGATGGATTGTCGCGAAATGCTGTTGAAAGCATTCGCAATGTCGGTCTGTAGTACCAGGCTGTTTGGGTGGCAGTCCACGTACGTTCGGGCGGCGTGAATTATCGCTTCCGCCCCACCAGGCACCGCCACTCCGAACTGTAGGGGTAGGAAGAAGTCACGTGCAGCCTCCCCCATGACCAACAGCGCAGCTTTGGCAGCCAGCCGAGTCAGGCATTCTCCGATAGCGATTGGTCGGACCCCCCCCCCAGGTTTGGCCAGGGCGATGAGTCTGGACGCAGTAAGCAGGTCCGCAACCGAAGCTGGGAGGTTGCCCCCCAGAATTGTATTCACGAGGGCGTGCAGATGGGTGCTGACGGATGCATTGGTTATTGCCGCGTCGCGCAGGTGCTCAAATGTTGTGCCAGACGGTCCGGCACCAACACCATTCTCGCATCTCCCAAGGAGCTTCGCAAATTCTGCGTGGGAAATGCACAGGGGCTTAGCATCGGCTGACTGCCAGGTCAGCTGGTCGTCTCCCGCCGGTGGATGCTTTTGTCGCAGCTCGTCTAGAATTTCTGGGCTCGGTGTACAGACGGGTGTTGACTCGAGCGTCAACACGGCTCGACGCAGACTGCCACGTTTCGCCAACCCCTCGGCTCTGCTCAGGACACCTGTCACATCGGGTTGGTGACGTGGGGGCGGAGGGGCGTTGACCGCGTTTATCGCCTCCTGGTAGAGCTGTGACCACTCGCCTCGCTGGAATGCCCGAAGACGGGCCTTGATTTGTGGCCAATTTGGGTGCTTTGGCGAAGCCTGGCGAAGGGTCAGACGCGGGAGGAAGAGAAGCAGCGTCCAACCCGCTTCGGAGTCAGGGTTTAGCGAAAGGTGAAGTAGCGGGGTCAGGAGTGTCAGCGAGAATAACTGGCACAGGTTAGGCGGTAATCGTCTTGACAGCAGCGGTTGGCGACTATCGCAGAGGGCGGAGATGTCCCAGTTCGCTATGTCGGCGAATTTATCCCCCATCTCCGCTAGCTCCACTGGCGAAAAATAGCGCGGGCGCTGCGGGGCCAATCCTGACACTGGGTGGAGGGAAGCGTTTCGATGTCTGCGTGCGCGACTCGGTGGCGTTGACTGCTGCCGAGTTGGATTCTCATCCGTCCGATCGGCATCCAATGGCCCTGCACGCCTTTCTGTTCCCACTGTGGGTAAATTGGCTGTCTCAGGTCTTCTCCTCCCTGTCCCTACTCTCGTTGCCTCCGCTCCGTCTCTTTCTTCCTCGTTTTCGCTGTCTGGCTCCACTCCCGTAGTATAAGAGGGGTCATTTCTGTCCCCTTCTGTATTAGCCGCTACCAAAGCAATTAAAGCCCGACGTCCCGCAGCCTGAAACCCATTCTCAGGCCCTCCGCCAGTTCCGCTAACCGTCTGCCTCCTTTCTTCCCGTGCTACACTACCTCGTGATGGTGATTGCTGGAGCTCCCGAGCCGTCGCCAGAGCGCGCTGCCGCCTGGTCGGCAGTGGTCGCCAAGCCTCAGTCTGAGGCCGGAAAGGCGACCACGGCGAAGAAGCCCCCGGTGGCTCCGGCTCCGAAGCCCTCGACAACATCCGCTGAAAAGCCTCCTCACCCCGAACCCGAGGCTCCCCTTGCCGCAGCTGCCGCTCAGTCTGTGGCTCTTGCTGCTGCTGGGAAATCCGCTCCGTCCACGCCAACTGCTCCCCAGGCTTCGCCCGATGGCCCGTCAGGGTCTGCCGCCGCGCTCCCGGCTCCTGCTCCCGTTGGGCCCCCCGCTTCGGGCCCCAAGCCGCAGACTTCTGTGCCTGCCTCGTCCCCGCAGCCGACGTCCGCCACCACTGGCGGCCCGACGCAATTGATTGTGTCCCCTGCATTGGACCCGTGTGCTCCCGTTGCGCCTCCCGTGGCTCAGCCGATGCAACCAACGTCGCAGTCACGTCCTCCCTCGCCGGACCGTCGCCTATCTCGCCCTCATTCTCCAGCGCCCCAACAGGATCGGGCGTCCTCCCGGCGCCGGCGGAATTCTCCCCGGCGCAATCAGCAATCGGGTCAGTGGCAAGCTCACCGTGGCGGTCGCGGCGGCTGGTGGGGTTCTCGTGGTCGCAATGGGGGAGGGTCGTATGATCCGCCCGTGAGGATGGCGGATCTGCAACGTGCGGTAACGACCGCGATGCGTGAAGAGAGGGCTGCTCAGACACAAGGCAGCTCGCACGTTGCCGTCGCCCATGCCGCCCAGCGTCAAGCGGCGCCTCATGAGGTTCCGCCCCCTGCTGCACTCGTCCAATCCCGTGTTCCGGCCTCATCGCTTCCCGCTGCTGCTGCGACTGCTCCCGTTCCACGGTCGCGGTTGCATCTGCCGCCAGTCCCGCCCGTGGCGGGAGTAGAATTTGTGGCTGTGGGAGGCGGAGCGGTGACGGCAGTTGGCCCGGCTTCTCCTGCCGTAGTGGAGCCGTTCCAGTTCCTTGCGCAGGCGATGCAACCCCCTCAGGCCCGGGTTCCGGAGGCGACCCTCGGCCAGCTCTTCCGTCTCGCAGAGAGCTTTCACGCTCTGCTCTTGATACAGGTTCTTGCTCACTCGTCCCTCCCCGCGGCCCCCCCTGAGTTGTTCCTGGATCGTCACCGCGACTCTTGTCTGGACGCCGCCGATCAGCTTGCAGGGCTGCTGGCGCCCGTGCTGGCTGCGCCCGCCGAGGGAGGCGTTGCGGCGGCGGGGCCGCTTGATGAGGCTGTGCGCGGCTTGCGGCGCCATTTGCGTGCTGGGTCTGGAGCCGCTGCGATC